GGCCAAATTCAGTGAACATCATAAATCTTCATTTTGTAGCAGGGCTGGAAAGTTAGAAATGTATGGTGCCACCATACTCTTTTCTTTATCTTTTTCTTTAAGAGCAGGGCCCTATGAATCTGCTACTTTTTAGAAAGGAAATCCAGGTTATGGTTGGTTTTGTAATATTTGGTTGTACATATTTTTCTTGAATATTTAATCATTTTGTGAGTCTGAGTATACTCACCTCTTTAGAAAGTTTGTCTGTTTTCTTCTTAATGCTGTGCCCATCATGATAGCCAAGAGCTTTTGTGGGAGCTGTGCATGGTTATTTAAGAGACATGGGCATATGAAACATAATCCTTTGAAGAGGCTTGTATCTGATTTTGGTGGAAAATGAGGCTTAAATGAAAGTCATCCTGGGAAATTCAGTCTTAAACAGAAAGCTGACCTATGAAAAATCAGTAGTTGGAAACATCTTAAATTATCAATTTTTAAGCAGTTTCTTTCCATTAATCACATGTCCACTTAAGACCAGATGGCACAATATGGCCCCTCATTTGTGGCTTTGACTGCTGAAGGATGTAGAAAATTTTATATCCAGGAGAGAGTTTATGCTATATGTTATCATTGCCTTCTTTGTGGTTTTCCTGCTCACAATGGCCTATTTTATGCCATCTTCTTAGGTAACCATTTACTTCATATATACAGTTCAAACAATAGACTTGTGGGACATATTTTCACTAGTATCTAAAGGTAAAAGTGGGGATATAAGATGGGAATGAAAAATGAAAAGTTCTCTGAAATGCCTTCCTGCATAAGAAAATCTTGTAACCAGTGTTGCTCTAACCCTCAGATCATAAAGGTAATTAAGAAAGAGTAATAAGAAGTAAGCAGTGTTAGTAGAAAAAAAACCAATGTGATATCAGCCTGTGGCAATGAAGAAAAGCAGATCAATAGAAATGTGTCACTAGTTCTGTTTAAATTATGCTGGAATCACTGGAAAAAGTTGGAGGAGTTTTGATTCTAGCTCCTAATTATTTCTTTTATAGAACCTAGTATCCTCCATTTAACTGAGCAACATATAAATTCTCTCTTTGAGGTGTCAGTTCATAACACACACACCACAGATGTATGATTAAGGATCATTCAGATGCATGGATCAGCTCTAGCTTTCTCAAAAAGAATTTCCCATCTATGGTAATATATTTGTCCCTTCACTTTTGTTAAGGCTCTTGGTAGTAAGGATCAGATTAAAAAGGGTTCAGGAAAGTGGGAAATAGTCTTGAATCTTTTTTAATACTGTTCAGCTGTAGGTTTATTCTTATTTGTTAGGCACCAATGGTGTGCTCAATGCTGTTGCATAACTGACCCACCCTGATACTGGCATTCTGGTGACACACCTGATTTGGAAGTTCACCCGTTTATGAGCTATATGCACTGTAGTGCTGTCGAATGGGCTGGGCTCTTGGTTGGAAATGCCAGCAGTGTGTAGATCAGTGGTCATTAAACTTTTTTCTGCTGCACCCAGTATCATTAATGAAATCTGTGATCTCCCCCAGAGCCACCATGGCCAAGAGCTAAGAGTTGGGATTGGGGCCATGGCTGGGAGCTGCACCAGCAGGGCAGGGGCCAAGGTGGAGGCCAGAGTTGCAGCTGGAGGTGGGTCTGCGGCTAGAAAACAGCTGGGACAGTGTGGTGCTTGGTGGTGCGCCCTCTCTGCTATAGTGCTGAGTGCTTGGGCCGACATCCAGGAGAGATTCAGATGCTGCCCAGCTGATTAGCAGAGCATCCACAGCCAGCAGCATTTGTTTTTACAAGTAGTGCACATCCACACATGCCTCAGTGCACATAACAAAATTTATTCCATGTATGGATGGAAAAATTAGAGGGAACATTGCTCCCTGTCTCCTGTGGGAGCTCTCCCAGGCCCTGCTGTGGCTCCCCGAATATTCATCCAAGCCCTCTGAGATTGAGGAACACTAATTTAGATGATAAGCATCTGTCAGAATAAGTTCATCAGTGGCTAATAGCCAGGATGGTCAGACCCACTATCCCATATGCTGAGTGTTCCAAAACCTCTGATTGGCAGAAGCTGGAACTAGACACCAGGGAGATGGATCACTCAGTAATTGTTCATTCCCTATGAAGCATCTAGCATTCATCACTGTTAATGTATTCAGTTAGCTTGCTTTGAACTTGCTTTGTTCCCAAGCCTATAATTTCTTTGTCCTTCTCTCTTTGCCTCTCATTCTCATATCTAAAGATGCAGAAAGAATTTCTGTCCATATGTTTGTAAACTGCCACGTACCCCGTATTGTATAGTATTACATAGAGCCTTAGATTTGGAAAAAACATTAACCATAGAAGTGAAGCCTCTTCAACATATGGTCTGCTTACTGTATGAGTGGAAATTAAGTACAAAATCTGTTTCTCAAACTTTAACATGCACCACGGCCCGCAGGCAAAAGGAGAGGGTACCCCTCTCAGAGGGGATGGATGCCTACCCAGCCAACCTGAACACCCCCATGTATGGTAACCAGATTCTGGAGAAGGGATTTGGGGCTCAATCACATTCCCATTTAGGTCAGTGGAAAAATTCCCATTGATTTCAGTAGTGCAAGGTCAGTGAGTTTTTTCCCTCAACTGGGAGGGAGTTCTATTGCTGACTAAATTTCAGTCAATGGGGATAAGCCATGTTTTTGTAGCCATATTAGTTCCAGATATTAGAGACAATGTCGTTAAGATAATACGGTGAAATAAGGGTTAAACTCAGCTCTGGGAGAAGGCTGGGACTGTGAGCCAATCAGATGAGGGCAGGTAGCAACCAATCATGGCCCAGCTGGGGTAATACAAGCAGGAGCTGTGAATCTCACAGAGGCACTCTTGCTCCAGTTGTGGAGCAAGTAGGACGTGGCTGCCTGGTAAAATAGAGACGGTACCTGACAAAGAACAGGGCTGGAGAAGGGCAGGCAGGACTGGGGAGCTCTGGCCAGGCAAACTCCCAGGCTGAGGCCATGTTTTCAAGGCCTGAGAGATACTAGGACTATAGGGAGGCAGCCAGGGCAGGAAAAGGCAGCAGGTCCACACCTGCTCATGCAGCCACTCAGGAGAGATTCAACACTGCCCAGCAGAGTGCCCACAGCTAGGTTTTTGTTTTTACTAGTGGTGCACATTTGCACATGCCTCGGTGCACATAAAAATGTATTCCAAACATGGATAGAAATATCCACACATCGATGGAAAAGATTAGATGGCACATTAGTTCACACCAGTGTTCTCTGTAAACTGTGCTCTTGGGCAGGCACCCAGGAGAGATTCAAATGTCACCCAGCTGATTAGCAGAGCACCCACAGCTGCAAGCATGTATTTCTACTGGTGGTGCATATCTGCACATGCCTTGGTGCACATAAAAAAATTTATTCTGCACATGGATGGAAAAATTAGAGGGTACTCTGGTTCGCATACCCCTTGCCAATGATAAGTGGCCATTTCAGATTGCATTTTGCCCCTGAGGCAGGGACTAGACAATAATTGGAAGTAGGTCACTAAGGCAAAGTGGATATAGGGGGTGGGGTACCCTGAAGGGGCGGGAGTATGTGGGGCTCTGCCATGGGGCAGTACCATGAAGGAAGGGGCACTATGGGCAGGGAGGGACACAGGTAACTGAGGGTGAGACACCGGCCAAGAGGGGGCATCCAGGGCTGGAGGAGACTAGCAGAAGGTGCCATTCCGGTGCGTGCTCAAACTGTTATGGATGGTAAAAGGGACACTGCTCACACCTGGCAGTTGGGCAAATTTGGGGGCAGTGGATTCCAAAGAGGCTGCACAG